ATGGAGAAAGCTAAGAATCTTTATGAACACCAGCTATGTGGTTCCAGAGTAGCAATTATAGAGAAGCAAACAGGGCACAGTGGCTGATTGTTATCATTATTTTTAGCTAGACCTGTGCCTTATTTTTAGCTAGGTCCTTACCATAGTTCTCACCTTGCACCCCTTTTTATTAATTTGTAAGGGCAGTTTCAATAGCTATGGCCTGACGGTAGGTAGGAGCATTCTAAGGAACGGTGGCTGTCTATAATACCTCTGCTTTTGTTCATGCAGTAGACCTGCCCACTCTGAGGACCATACAAATTCCAGCTGTTTTGGGTGATTTAGAGGTTCACCAATCCTAGTTGTGTGAGTTGTCCAGAACTCTCCACCCAGGGTCTCCACTTTTTTCCCTTCTGCTCCTCTCTCCATCCTACACTGAACTCTGCAGCCAGAACTGTGACTACCAGCCTGCTCTGGGCTCTCTATACTTGGTTCTACATGGACCCTGAAAACTGCTTTCTCTCTGGATCTTCATCCCTCACTAGGTGTGAGTGTCTTCTCTGGCCCCATTGCCTGTCACCTGGTCATTCTAACAGAATCCTATCTTTTCAAATTAACCATTTTGGTTTATGAAATAAAGTGTGTGCATTTAAAATATTTGCATGCATTAATGTGTGAGAATATATATGAGTAAATATTTGGGGGATTAAATTTTTGTGACATTTATAAAAATTTACAATCTCCACACACTCTCCACTTTAACCTAATTTCCACTTTGCTATAAGAACAATAGACTTTTGCTTAATAATTCATGTTCAAAATATTTTGGTTCTATAAGCCACAGCAAAAACGGGGAAACAAATTATGTGCCCGTCAGAAGGAGATGGTTAAGTTAATTATGACATATACATGCTATGGGAGTAATACCAAAGATGAAATAGATCCATATGTGTTGTTGTGGAAAAATCTTGCATTCCTGTTATTCAGTGGCAAAGACATATGGCAGAATGATATGCACATCACTACCCATTATGTTTAAAAATCACAATATATTTTTACAGCACATTTATGTATGAAAAAGCCTGGAATTAGCTTTAAAATAATAAGCCCAATTATTTACTCTGGTTATCTCTGAACATGAGCCTGAATTATAAGGGAATTATTATAAAGGTAGAAATTGTGACTTATCTGTATTGTTAGAACTTTTGTGCCAAAGATATGTGCACTATTAGCTTTGTCGTTATATATTTAAAGAAGCCTGATGGCGTGTGGTGGCTCACACCTTTAATCTCAGCACTTTGGGAGGCTGAAGTAGGAGAATTGTTTGAGGCCAGGAGTTCAAGATCAGCCTGGGCAACATAGCAAGACCCCGTCTCTACAAAAAGTAAGAAAGTTAGCTGGATATGGTGGCATGTGCCTGTAGTCCCAGCTACTTGGGTGATTGAGGCAGGAGGTCACTTGAGCTCAGGAGTTCGAGCCACTGCATTATATATAGTAGCTATGTATTTGTAAGATAGAGTTTCTGCTAGCTGATACAACAGACAATACCTGAAATCTGAAAGACTTAACATAACAAACACTTATTTCTTATGCACATCAAATATGATGTGATTTGGCAGGGTACTTTGTTGCCAGGTGACTCAGAGATCCAATCGGCTTCCATCTGTACATCCATATGGCGACATGGGGTCCCTGTGTTTGTTGATGAATTGAAGAGAAAACAAGATGGTGGCATAAAGGCTCTCAAATACCTTGTCCTGTAAGTGACATGCATTATTTCTGCTCCTATTTCAGTGGCAAGGGCTAGTCATGTGACCTTTTATAACTACAAGTGAACTGTATGTGGTGAACTGAATGTAGTCTTCCCATGAGCTCAGGAAGCAGAGAATGACAAGATGTGGATTAGTACTTGCAGTCTCTCCTTAACTTCTGATTCTCTGTTATCTACTACCTGACTGAATATGTCTGAACATCAATTTCTGCACGTTGAAAACCTAGATTTTTTTTAAAAAAATCAATCAATTAATTAATATTATTAAAAGGTAACATGTCTCCAGGAACCATATTATCCCTCCTGGAAGGACTCTAGAGTTTACAGGAATTGAGACATTGTAGATGTTTGCTTACTTATTTTGATGGTCTTTTCTCATGTGTCACTTATAGGAGAGGCTTTGGTTTTTAAGCACTAAAGCAAGCTCACTCATTGGTTTATGAGGCCAGTAGCTAGTACCAAATAAGAAATCCCAAATACTGCAAACATCAGAGTGGTTTTCAAATTCCCATCTCTTGGGGAAAAAGCCCCAAAAGATTGTTTACCAAATCAGGTTATACTTACCCGCTCATAAAGTTTGAGTATTTGTCTCCTCCAAATCTCATGTTGAAATTTGATCCCCAATGTTGGAGGTGGGACCTAGTGGGAGGTATTTGGGTCATGGGGGTGGATCTCTCATGAATGGCTTGGCGCCTTCCACCTTGTCCTCATCCTTGGGGTAATGAGTGAGTTCTTGCTCTACTAGTTCCTGTGAGAACTGATTATTGCAAAAAGCCCTGCACTTCCCTTCCCTCTCTCTCTTGCTTCCACCCTCTTACAATGTGATCTTTGCACAAGCTGGCTGGCTATTCTTCACCTTTTGGGATGAATAGAAGCAGCCTGAGGCCATCCCCAGAAGCAGATGCTGGCACCATGTTTCTTGTACAGCCTGCAGAATGATGAGCCAAATAAACCTCTTTTCTTTACAAATTGCCAAGCCTTAGGTATTCCTTTATAGTAACACAAGGGGCTGAGACACCAGCTTATTTGCAAATCATTTTGAGAATATGTTGGAGATGTCTAGTGATGATGACCAGGTCTAAATTACACTTTCAAAATGACATTTTGCATGTAACAGGATATTCATATCAGAGGAGTTTCAAAGTGAGGCATATTCCTGCCTGAAAGTTGGAATACTCTATGTAATTAAGGGGAAGGCAGGTGATTCTGGGCTGTCCCACTGACAGTAAGGATCAGCCTTTAGAGGAGGACACAGTGAACGGCAGGTCAGCAGGTTGGGTTCTAATTTGGACAAGAGGGCACACCAGAGAAAACCCAAGGGAAGAGTACTGTAATGCACGACAGAGCTGGAGCTGGAAAAAACTGCCAGCCTCTAAACTAAGTTAACTGTTAAAGAACACTGGGACTAAGGGTATGAGGACTGTGGCTAAATGAAGCTCAAAGACAAGGCTCAAATTGTATTTGACTATTACATTTACCTTTCTTCTTTATACCTTCATTTAGTACTTCAGATTGAAAGTCTTTTTTATCCCAAGATGCATTGTGGAGCTGCCAGAAGTGAAATGAATTAAGAGGCAGAAGATTGGCCTCAGGCTGGAGGAGTGAACCACAGTATACTCTAGAATTCAGACCAGAAGTTTAGTCTCAGATCTGTTACATACTAGACCTGTGAACCCAGGCACATTCCCAAGTTCTATGACTCTTAGGTCTTCATCTCAGGAGTGACCTTGATAATCCACATCATAAAAAACTGTTAGATTGGCCAGGAGACGTGGCTCATGCCTGTAATCCTAACACTCTGGAGGGCCGAGGAAGGAGGATCACATGAGGTTAGGAGTTCGAGACCAGCCTGAGCAAGAGTGATAACCTCTTTCTACTAAAAATAGAAAAATTAGCTGGGTGTGGTAGTGCACGCCTGTAATCCATGCTACTTGGGAGGCTGAGGCAGGAGAATCACTTGAGCCCAGGAGCTTGAGGTTGCTGTGAGCTAGGCTGACACCATGGCATTCTAGCCCAGGTGAAAGAGCAAGACTCTGTCTCAAAAAAAAAAAAAAAAAAAAAAGAACACAAAACAAACAAACAAAAAACCATTGGAAACAATGCAATGTATGAAAAACATTTGGCACAGTGCTTGGCATACCTTAGGTCTTCAATAAAAGGAAGTTATTACTGCAATTATTTTGACATCTGACCCTACTAGCATCACTCATGTGATTTTTTTTTAAACTAGTATGTCTCAGACAACAAAATGTGCTATAGGAAATGAAATATTAGATCAATTAAAGAGCTACTTACAAAGTAAACCTCAGTAAAAATTTTCCCCTTAGAGGTTGTGTTCTTTAATAATAAGGGTGGACATTTCTTTTCCAGCTGTTGCAAATTGAAATTCCTAGAATTTTTTACAAGAACCAATTCATCCAAATTGCCTCCATCCAAACCTTTCTTATTTTCATTAATTTCATCTCCATCAAAAATACAAGCATTTCCAAGAATGTGTAATTCAAATTCCACTGAAAAGAATCTATTTAAAATATCCCTTAAATGGGGTAGTCTTGGGCTCTCCCTGGCCAGGGCAATGAGTGCCAACCCAGTTGTTTGGGGGTATCTCATCTCAAGAAAGTATCACTGTTATCTCTCAAAAACTCCTTAAAGACAATTACATAAAACAGTCAGTTGTGAATTATGTTCAATGGCAGAACAACTTCCATTTCTTCCCCAGGTGGAGATTTGTCTCTGGTTAAATAATGACCCAAACTAACTGTAATAAGGAGTTTTCCACTCCAGGTTTTTGAGTCTCAACTCTGATACACACCAGTTGGAGTTCTGACCCTTAATCACTGCCCTCCTTGGGCTCATTTTTCACTGTACCCAAATTAACTTCAAATCAACAATCACTGAAGGAATTCCAACTTACAAAAGCCACAGATTTCCTTGCTTCAGGGCATTTACACTTGACAGCGATATATGGATCCTCCAAACACACTCATCTATTAATTCCTTCTATTACTTGTAATTTAAATACTAGAAGATATCCCATTGTCATTTTAGAATTTAATTTAACTATCAGTTAAATTAAAAGGTGTCTGCTAGCCCTTGTTTATCCTAGCATCCCAGTGTTAATATGATTATTACTAAAGAGCAAATGCTCAATTACGTTTTGAGGAAAAAAAGAGACAGTGAGTAGAGGATCTAATTTATTGAGATTTATTTCTTGTACATCCATAGATAAGTAGATGCATGTATATATCATTTAATTTCACAAAACAACAAACTAAAAGGTATAAGTAAAAAAACATTAATCATCTTTTATTTTCTATTTTTGATACAAACTATCTTAAAGCACAAGTCTTAGCAATGACATGTTATTTTGTTCCAGATAACAATAGAGATGGTTTTACAATGTGTTTTACAGAAGAGGAGCTTGTTACTATTGAACATCATGAACAGCATTAGATGTGTGATCAAAATCATTTGAAACATGAAGAATTTGAAGATAATTAAAGCTCTATTAAAGGACATAACATTTGTATAACACATGTATCAAAAATAAAAGAATAAAATTGTCAAGTTACACAAACAAAATAGGAACACATAGATGATTCCCCCAAACTCCACCCGGGGCCTATATTCCTTGAACACTAACTGCCCTCTTCAAAGGGATGAGGAATCTATCTCTGACTTGACTAGGTGTGGGAGGATCTGCCAGACATGGCACTGGAACTTGCAGTGGCCGTGGAAGTAGAGCCAGCCCTAGCTGAAATTCTTGCTTGAGATCTCTCTTCTTCATCTCGCAGAGCATCCTCATACTGAGAAGGGAAAGAACTTGGGTCAGTCCCATGAACCTTGGCCAGAAACTCTAGGAGCTTCATCTTTCTGGTCTCAGCATGGGCTCTTGGGCCCCACACGAACTCATACTGAGCAGGATCACTGTTGGGCACCTGGCGGTACTCCAGGTACTTTTCCTTTACCAGCTCTTTGGTGATGAACTCTCTGGGCTCTCCAAAGATGAAGTGCCTCCTCCCAGAATATAGCCCCGTCACATTCAGCACTTCCCAGACTTGCTCTTCAGTGGCATGGTTGCCCTTCATGAAGATCGCACCCAGGATCAGGATCAGGAGGCCGGTCTTGGGCACACCCTTTTCAACACTCAGCATCCCATCATAGGTGAGGCCCAGCTTGATGAAGAGGCCATAGCGGTGGCTGATGGGGTCTACTTCCTTCACATCAAGACCGAAGATTATCTCCATGCGGTCAGAGGCTCTCAGGAGGATCTCAGGGAAGTGGTCTTCGTCTTCTTTGATGATAATCTTCAATATCTCTGCTTTTGTTAGTGGCTCTCTCATTTGATATTTGAACAGCATGAAATTGACCAAAAGAGCCACCTTCTCGTCGAGAGCATCGTTGGGCATATTCCTGGGGGCTGCTGTAGCTTGTGAGGTGCTTGGACTCTTTTCCTCTTCTTTGCTACTAGAGCTCTCATCAGGTTTGCTTGATGAGGTGGCTGTGACAGCACTGGAAGAGGAGCAGAAACCCTGAGGACCCTCAGGAGTGCTCAGCATCTTGGCAGCAGGAGCCTCCATCAGGTTGCCTGGCATTAGAGGAATGGGGGAGGAGGCAGAGGTCTCCTCCACAGCCTTGGACACCTGGGCATTTTCAAGGCCCTGGGTCTTACTCTGGGTATCAATAGGCTGATCATGTTTACACTGTGGACTCTCTTGATCCTTAGGCATGATGTTTCTTGCTGGTGGCAGTAGGCAGGAGTGAGCAGAGGAGGTTGCTCAATGCAGAGTCACTGCCTAAGAGAGAGAGGGAGGAGTGAGTGTCCTCAGTTGTTAAACTCAACTCTAGTGGTTGTGATAGAAGCTGTTGCCAATTTTCCTAACAATAGTGTTATAAGGGCATTTAGGTCTCCTGTCATCTTGGTTTCTGTGTCCCCCAGGAACCTGAAGGAGGATATGAGAATCCTCCGGGTGCAGCCTGCCAACCCAAGACAAGATTCTCAGACACAGAGCAGACAGCTAGTGGTGGGCTCTAGAGAGCCCCTTCTGTTCTGAGGAAGGTAGTGCTATGAGTTTATGACCAGAAGTGCCACTAACTTTGCATCTGTAGGGTCTATGCCACTTCCCCTGTGCTATTATGAGGCTGTCCCCTTAAGACAAAAGTCACATCTCCTAAGACAACTGTGGAAAAAATGTGAAGGTACCTACTTCATCTACCCATCCTGGAGTTTCCAAGGGCTGACAGCAGGAGCTAGATTCCATATAAGCCACTGTACTGGTATGGGTTGTCCCCTCAGTTCTCACTCAGGTTCTTTACTTTGAATCCAGGAAGTTACTGGGATCACTCCTTTTGTTAACTTAATGTTTCCTTCTCAGACCAAAGCTTCCACCTCCCCAAGACCCTGGAGAAACAGGTGAAGAATCACCTCTCAGGGGCTCTAAGAGTGGGACCAGGGCATACCTCTGTGGGGATCACTCTGTTCTGGGGTAGTTTTTCCCTCCAGGCCTCACTATGGTCCTGAACTTGATTACTAGCAGAGTCTATTATAGCATCTTTTGCTAACTTGATGTCACCTCCTCATACCAAACACTTTACCTCCCTGAATTCCCTAAGAAGGAAGAGAGACAACATGTCTACTTGATAGTTCTGCCCAGGGCATCCCAGGGTGGATAGAAGGGGAAGAACAGGGCTGTGTTCAGCCTCAATCTTCTCAGATGGGTGGTTTCCTGAGTCCTCACTCAGGGTCCTTTTCTAGGCTACTAGTAAGTCCTCAGTTGCTATCCTTTGGATGCTTAATGTTACCCTAGCCACAACAAGGCCTTACCTCCCTGAGAATCAAGGAAAAGAAATGAAAACATGGCTTATCCAACCACTATAGTCAGGCTTGCCAGTGCTGAGAGCAGGGGCTAGACACTGGGTCCTGTCTGTTGTGGAGGAGTAGCCACATGAAATCTCTCTCAAGGTTGTTATCTTACTCTTTGTAGACTGTTCTCTTCCTCTGCTGACCTGATGTGATCCAGTCCTCACATATCAAAACCCTCTCCTCCCCAAGAGGGAAATGAGGAAACAAGTCATCTGTTTACCACAGTTGAGATTCCCAGTGCTAACAGAGTTAGATATGATAGCCACCCACTCAAGGCTGGGTAGACCCCTCAGACCTCACACAGGTACTTATCCTGTCTCTTGGCAGGCCTTCAGACTCCTTCTACTGACCTGATATGAATTAGGCCATACATACTAAGGCCCTTACCTCAATGAAAACCTGAGAAGGAAGAGAGGGTGCATCACATCAGTTGATCCCTTCCCAGAACTTCCTGGACTAAGAGCAAAAAGGATACTATGTTGGGTCCCCCTCTGCTGGTGGCACCCTGTCATAATTATAGATCTTCACCTAGTCTCCTGGCATACCCTGTGCTTTGCTCACCTGGGCTACCCTCTCAGACCACTCAAGTCCCTAGACTCCCAAAGATGAGAAGAGAGTATGAGAATTCCGGCCACTCCTATTTGGAGCCTCCAAGGACCTACCACAGGGGCAGAGCAGGGCTCATATGGTCCTAAATGTACTGGGGGTGGTGGGCCCCTTAATATTTTTTCAAAGTCTTTATTGTGGTTCCTGACACTGTGTGATGATCCTCTTGTAGCTTACCTGATTTTGCCCCCTCAAACTAAAGTCTTACTTTCCTGTGACCACCTAGGCTAAAGTGAGGAAGTGACTTAATCAGTCATTCCTGCGTAGGGATTCCAAAGGATGACAGCAGGTGTGGACATTGTAAGGCCACCTCTTCTCTGGGGTAGATGGTTCCCTTAATCCTCACTCAGAGTACTTAACTGGAAATTTTTTAGGTTCCTGGGACTTCTCCTTTGGCTGATCTGACCCCTTACACTAAGGCTCACCATTCCCTAAGACCCTAAAGGATAAAGCAAAATTGTGTAACATCTGACTACTCCTGCAAACGGTCTCTCAGGGTTGACTAAAGTGACAGGGCAGGGGTCGGTACCTTGATCTCTGTTTTTGAGTTGGTATTCCTCATAGTCCTCCCTCACAATCTTCACTCTTGTCCTCACCTTGACTCTTGCTAGGGCCCAAGATTCCACCTTTTGTGAACCTGAAGTCTTTTGCTCACAATAAATCTTCACTTCCCTGTAATCACTATGGAAGTGAGGGGACGTCTCAAATGGCTGCAGCTACTCAGTCTCCCAGGGTTTTCTGGGGTCTGTGAAACCACACTTTCATAGGTCAGGTTGTACATTCAGACCTAATTCAGGGCGGTTACTTCACACTTACAATAGCCTGGGAATCCATCTTCTTCTAACCTAATATCATCTAGTCAGACCAAAACTTCCCCCTCTCTGAGAAACTGAGGAGAGAGTGAGAGTAAGCCTTAGCCTAAAAGTCCTTCCTAGAGCCTCCCAGGGATGATAGTTAGAGGTGGGGCTCTGTGTGGCTCCGTTTGTCCTCAGGTGGGTTGTCCCTTACCCCGAACATGGGACCCTAATATTTGATACCGATTGTGACTGTACTTCCTCCTACTGACTATGTAAGGCTGCTCCATTTCACCCAAGTTGTCACTTTTGTGAGACACTGACGAAAAAAGTGAGGACATACGTCATAATCGGGACATCCAGAACTGACAACAAGGCCGACATACTGTGGCATAACTTCTTTCTTGGGATGGGCAGAACGCCAAAATTCACTCAGGGCCTCACCTAGACTACCGTAGGGCCAAAGACTACCTCCTCAGACATCTGGCAGCGCCACTTCCCGCCTCCCTGGTCCGGGACTCCCAGGGTGACGGGCCGGGGCTCAGTGGACGTGCCACTGTTCTGTGGTGAGTGATCCCTTCAGGACTCACTCAGGGCCCTTTTCTCAAGGACCCGCAGGTCTGGGGCCTCTTACCCCCGCTGCGCAGTAAGGCTTTCACCTCAGTCAGGTCCCCGAGTAGGAGGTGGGGGGCGGGTTCGGCCTCACAGCCCAGCCCGGGGCCTCTCCGGACTCCCTGTGGGGACGGGGCTCTTATCTGTGGGGACTCCCCTGTCCTGAGCCCTCAGTTTTACTGAGAACTTTACCTTGAGAGCTGGAAACAGCGCGATTCCTCTCCCTTCTGATCTGAGGACGCCCACCTCAGACCAACGTCTTCTCGACCCTCAGACGCCAGAACAGGAAGTCGGGGGGCGTGGCCTCTGGCGACCGTTGCCTGGGGCCTCCCAACGGCGACGCCAGGGGCAGCAGGCAGGCGCCTCTCTGCACGTGCTTTACTGTCATGGCGCAGGGTTATGACGATGCTCCCCCAGAGTCCTCTTGTGGACTTATGGCCAGCCTCGGATTTCTCCCTCTGCTGAGCTGAGGTTGTGCTCATGTTTCCGAGAACCCTGCAGAGCAACTTAGCGGTGCCTCAGCTGGCCACCAGCGCCTGGGCCTGTTAGTGGTCAGAGGAGGCACTGTCCGGTTTCCACGTGACTCCTTTACTCTGCGTTGCAGCAGGTTTCCTCAGTCCTCCTTCATGGGGACCCTAATCTTGCCTCCTTTCCCTCTGAGTTAAGGCTTCCTAGGAAATGCCACCTCCTGGGGGATATTTCGACTAATTTATTTACTGCAAGCTTTGCAGAGTTTGGGTTGAGTCTCTGCCCCAGCCTTGAGAGATGGGAAAGTTATGGTGCAAGACAGGCAGGGACCAGGACAGGTGGTGGGTCAGAGAAAAACACATTGATCTATTCTTTCTCTTCACCAGCCACACGTAGCCTCGTAAGCAACTTTCATCCTGCAAATATTTGGTTTCTGCAAGGAAGGGTCTAATCAGAATGGTTTCGTGAGACACTAATTTTTTGAGTTTATTTGACAGTGGAAATGCAGATGATTGTTAGGTTTACAATTTCTGGAGTCTCTCAAGACTCCTACTGCTTCAAAAGTATGTACAGTATGGAATGTGGTTAATAGAAGACTAAGGTTTGTAAAACAGTAGCTGCAGGAGTCTGGAGAGTCCCCGGGCATTGTAAACCTAAGAATGGTCATGTTTTCATTGTGGTATATGTATAACATGGAGCACTACTCAGTCATAAAATAGGAAGAATTAATGCGTTTTGGTAGCAATTTGGTAGGAATTGAGTATTATCTCTTTACACTTTTCATACCTCTCATTTATTTTGCAATTGTTGTCATTCAAATATATTTTCCAGTCCTCTTTTTAACAGTGGAGCACACTTGGATCAAGTCTTCTTTTCTTGGGGTCTACTCATCTGTTTTTTATATCAAAGAGTGTTAGGACTGGAGCTGAGAAAGAGACACATGAACCCTCATGTGTAGCAAAATGCTGTTTATTTTCAGTATCTGGGTGCAGATGGGTGGAGGCCATATAAAGGGTCCACAAAAGGAAAGGGGAGAGCCTTGAGTTTTATAGAGGGTCAAATCTCTAGCTCCTAGGACTTCTGCCTCAGTCACATCCATCCTTCAGGTCCAGTGTCTTCCTTATCAGGAAAGATAGGAAGGGGCAAATTTTGTCCCTACTGGGGTGATGGAAAGGAATGCTGCTGTCTGTTAGATTTACAATGTCTGGGGATTCTTCAGATTCCTGCAGCTAGTGTTTTATAAGCCTAAGTTTGCGTTAACCACATTCTGTCCTATACATAGTTTTCGGGTCCCCACCTGGAACCAACCTAACATTCATTCCACCCTTTTTATTACATACATATAAAAAAAGGAAGGTAATATATGGGCAAAAATTAAAAAGATTGGGAAGTGGGTGCCCGTTGTCTTTCTGACTGCTTTTTGTTTTTTCTGTTCATGGAGATCTGGTTATCCTTGAAATGTAGTCAGGCCTATTGCAGGGGATGTGATCTTTGCCCTTGAGATTTGGTTTGGGGCAGGAAATAAAGGCCTGGAGTTTACCACTCTGCTGTCTGTCTGAGAGCTCTTCAGGAACACCTTGAGGCTGTGAAACAAATTCTAAAAGCTATGAGCTGGGGGAAATGTAAAGAGAAAGATTTACATTTCTTTTCTGGGCTCTTTTAGGTGTTTGTGGAAACAGTCTCAGCAGGATGCCTGGTAGTTTGGGAGAGAGATAGCAAAGAGTAAGGAGAGCTCAGAATTGATTTTTATCTGTTATTAGGAAATTGGAGGATTTAAGCCTTCCATAACATTCCCCACTTTCTGTTGTTAAAATTAAATTTCTACTTAAAATGAACTCAGAAGTTGGTAAAATGGATGGAGAGCTTTCTTCTGTAGATACTTCAAGCTGAGAAGGGGCACAGAGATCTTCTTATGGAATTCATTTATTTCAAAGGAGGGAGTTGAAAATGGACAGTCTTGAACTTAGAATAGAGGCAGGATGGGGTTTTACTGGAAAGAAATAGTTAGGGCCTGAATTTGGTTTTATATGAATGTTATTAGATAGTGTAGAATGTAGGGTTTGAAAATGAGAGTTGAAAGTAGAGCCACTAGGGGCTTTAGCTAAGAACTTAAGATCACACAGGGTGAGAAGAGTTTATAGTTTTGAGAAGGGAGAGAAGTCTCTTGGACTGCAGGCAGATAGAGATATCATAGAGTGCCCATAGGGGGGATGGAAAGTAAGGCTATTATCATTAGGACTCCCAGCATAGGCAAAGGACTGCCTGCTATGTAAGCTGGGCTGTGGTGGCATTCATAGAGTGACATGAGAAGTACAAAGAGGAGGTAAAGCACAATAAGGAGCCATATATACCACACCATGTTATGGGAGCCTGGTATCTATGATAGGCTGAACATTTAGTGTAAGATACTGGGCTATAAGGACAAGGGACAATTCCAGCTTCTGTTTTTTACTTCTTGTTTGCTAACCACAAGGCATTGTGAGTACATTATAGGATGCAGAGGAAAAAGACAAAGAACATGGAAGCTGGAGTCTCTCAGCTAGGACCCAGAACAGGTTAGAGCCTATCAGGGGAAGCATGAAGTAAGAATCACTGTGGGGGCGGATGCATGATCAGTGTGTAAACAACTTAGCTATAAAAGGGTCACTAGCACACAAAGGGGGGGGGGTCCCTGCCCAAAGAAGAAGCCACTGCGCTGGCACTCTGGGGGCTCGGATCCTAGCTCAAGCTAGACAATAAAACTCCTTTTGATAATTACAGCCTCAGTGACTCTGTGTCTCTACCCTGTGGCCCTATGAATCTTGAATATAACATTAGGAGCTCGCCATGGTTGGAAGCAGGTTTTGGAGGGCCTGTAGGTTTGAGTCTAGAGAGATGACTCTCGGACAGGATTTCCAGAATCTTAGGGGTAGTGGTGGAAGCAGTGAGAGAATTATTTAAACAGTTGAAGGGAACTCGATTTGTTCTGGGAAATACTTGAGTAAAATCTAGTCCTGGGGGGGGGGGTGCGTGCGCAAGTGGCACCAGGAGGGGCGAGTGCATAGCCACCACCAAGGGGGCAGGGTTGAGCACCTCCGTCAACAAATTATAGGGCGGGGGTGCATTCCACTCCAACTCTGTTAAATCTGGGTACAGATTTGAGTCCGGCAACACAGGGGAGGTGCCAGCAGAGGGGGGCCCAGCAGGCCATGAGTCCTGCATCTCTCCCTTCTTCACCTCTTTAGCAGCCAAAATCTTGGCCCTTTTCTTAGGGGCAGGCAGGAGGGTCTTTAGCCAGGGTGGTGGGTCCTGGACCAAACACTGCCAGACTACAATGTAAGGAATTTGATCAGGATGGCCGTGGTGGCAAAACACCACCCCTTTTACCTTTTCGATGAGGGAGGCATCAAAAGAGCTGTCCTTGGGCCATCTCACCCCAAACTTAGGCCACTCCCCCTCACAAAGAGTGATAAGCTTTCTTTTTTTAACCTCCAAGGGACAGGTCCTGTGCCCTTGCCTGCACATCCTTAAAGTGACTCACGAGGATAGACAATGGCATCGTCAGGGTTTGCCCCATTCCTGAAAAGAAGAAGAAGTCCTAGACACAGGACAATCTCACTCTCACAATCGCACAGGTGACAAGACTAGACAGTTGAGAAACAAGTAACAAAAACGATTAAACGGACGAATAAATGAAAAAAACAAACAGACAAAAATAAAAAACAACAGCAACAATGACCCACCTATTCCGGAATCTCTCCCCGGCCCCCTTCTGACCGAGCCTCCAGCTCCAAGGTCAGCCATGGGGATTACAAGGAGGCCATCAGATGTCTCTGTCTGGCCTCCACCAGGGACACACCAGCGCATCCGCCTAGGTCCTAATGCTGGTCCACTAGTCTGGGGCTCCAAGCTATACACTCCTTCCCTGGCTCTGCATCCTATCCAGAGGTCTGTGAGAATCTTGGACGAGACCCAAATGTTATATTCGAGATTCACAAGGCTGCAGGACAGAGAGACAGAGTCACCAAGGCTGTAATTATCAAAAGGAGTTTTATTGTCTAGCTTGAGCTAGGGTCCGAGCCCCCAGAGTGCCAGCGCAGTGGCTTCTTCTTTGGGCAGGGACCCCCCCTTTGTGTGCTAGTGACCCTTTTATAGCTAAGTTGTTTACACACTGATCATGCATCCCCCCCCACAGTGATTCTTACTTCATCCTGCCCCTGATAGGCTCTAACCTGTTCTGGATCCTAGCTGAGAGACTCCGGTTTCCTCGTTCTTTGTCTTTCTCCTCTGCATCCCATAATGTACTAATAATGCCTTGCGGTTAGCAAACAAGCAGTAAAAAACTGAAGCTGGAAGGTGTCCATTGTCCTTATAGCCCAGTGTCTTACAACATGTCTTTCTCTTACTCAGAAGTTACTTTCTATTTTGTTTTTTATGAAATATTTGATGTAAGTATTTACTTTTCTTTAAGCCAATTAATCAGAGTTGTTTT